ATAAATACCTTTCCCGACCCGTCGAAGAACATCGTCGGAGCTACGACTGCGCTTTAAACCGGGTCAGTGTTAGCCGGTACCAAAAAATTGGCGCGTTACCACTCATACACGAGTCTCCTACTGCCTAACCCAAACAAGAGCAATGAGTGTTTCGCAGGAATTTCACCGGCTCATCAGAGGCCTGACACTCGCGGGTAATCTCCTTACACCGCAAATCCTCTGCAAGTCGTGTCAACACTCGCGACGCAATTGCGACGCGGCGCCATCCACTACCACACAACTTCGCTGCGCAAAGTCCAGCAGCAAACGGGGGAATTTGATAAATACCTTTCCCGACCCGTCGAAGAACATCGTCGGAACAACGTCAGGATGGGTTATAGGGACAGCGGCATAACAAGGGGCTGGCAGTATGGCTGATTCTGGTTGGTCCCAGTAGTGGGAGGTGAAGAGATCCATGTTTCTCTCATTTCTGTGGATTTTCACATAAGAAGAAGGCAGTTCATCCTCAGGCTTTTGTCCGAGCAATCAATGTCGTTTTGCTCCTCCGTCCCCCAAATTTTCCTGTTTTCTCTATCATTCACTATGGGATGCTTGTTGGGCCCAATTCTCAGCATTTGTTGCCCCTCGAATATAGATTGGAGCCATCCCAAAGGGCGAGCCCTTCACCAGGCAGGGCTTGAAGCTGCTCTGCGTTGAACGGACACACCGTGATGCCTGTATTCAATGACCAACCCCTCTCCTGTCTCTTTTGTTTCCTAACGGTGGTCCCCACGAGATGTTGACAGCCGCTCAGCCTACGGGACCAAAATGGCTGGCAGGTTCCTTTCCTTTGGACGCACGGCATCAGTCCGGGTTGGAAAAAGAGGCTTGGACAGACTGGTAGGAATCCGTAGGATCCATCTGCTAAGATGGTGGACTCGGAGAACCTGGCCTACTTGTTGGTCCTTGAAGGCGAGCCGTGTTCTTTACACTGGAACGGAATGAAGCAAGGGTTGTGTTTTCTGGCTATCATAGCGTTGTCTCTCTCGTCGTCTGCTATGTCGCTCTATCTCACCTCATCGTTCATGTCGCTTGTGGTCTAGGCCCTCGCGTAATGATATTCTTGTTCGCAAGGACCACGCAGCCTCACAATCCTCCACAAAGGCTGAGCAGGGTAGAGTTGTAAGTGTGTCGAAGCCTCGAAGGGCAAAAACATAGCTGCGTGAGGGGGGAAAGCAAACTAAAAACTGCCATTTCGTCAAAATGGACATTTTTAATTTTTTTAACGAAATTAATACTGAGTTTTTTTGGGCGAAAACAGGTCCAATTTTTTGGCTCCTGAGGGTCCTGTGTTCTTAAAATGCCGGACCCCCTAGACGTATCAAGTCTCGAGCTAAGTTCACATACATCCAGGAGGTCCAGTGTTTTAAGCATGCTGGACCCTCAGGAGCCAAAAAAATAGACCCGTTTTTGGCCAAAAAACTCAATTTCAATTTCGTTCGAAAAAATAAAAAATGTCCACTTTGACGAAATGGGAGTTTCAAGAGGAAGAAGGGGAGAAAAAGGTAGAGAGAGAGCCAGAAAAAAAAAACAAAAAAAACTGGACTGATTGAGGAGGGAATAAGGAGGGTGAGATAATCACACGTAGATAACACTGTGATATCAAATGGGTTAGAAGCGTTTTACGGTACTCTTCACTCTCGATTTCAGAACTCTCTTGATCACACTTTAACCCTCTTGACACGTTGACCGTTTGTTGTCACACGCCTTATGCATATATGGCGATTGCCACCCTGCGAGGCCCAACTAGCAAGCCAGGTTTGCACGTGTCCTGCAGTCCGTTACAAGGACACGTCAACCCCACAACTCGACACTATTGGCGTCAGCCCGTCGGGACTATTCCATCCACCAATGCACGGACTCACACCTAGTCAGTTGATCCTCGTGACCACGGTAACTTCGATGCGAGTAATCCTCGTGACCTTGGTAACTTCGATGAGAGTAATCCTCGTGACCACGGTAACTTCGATGAGAGTAATCCTCGTGACCACGGTAACTTCGATGAGACTAATTCTCGTGACC